GGGGGAACTTGCGGCACACGGCGTTGTAGTTGGTACAGATGTAATGGAGGCACCAGTCAGCCAACTGCTTGGCATTGTGGAACTGCAAAGAGAAAGAGGACGGTGAGCCCCACTGATCATCTGACCTCCGTCCTCCATCTGACCTCCGTCCTCCCCTTCAGTCTTCTATCTATCCTCCGTCCTCCCCTTCAGTCTTCTATCTGACCTCCGTCCTCCCCTTCAGTCTTCTATCTGACCTCCGTCCTCCCCTATTGCTCTGCTGGAGGACTCTGCTCCATCCCCTATAACTCTTCTCTCCTGATATACTCTGCTCTGCTGGAGGCCTCTGCTCCTTCCTCTATCACTCTCCTCTCCTGATATCCTCTGCTCTGCTGGAGGCCTCTGCTCCTTCCTCTATCACTCTCCTCTCCTGATATCCTCTGCTCTGCTGGAGGCCTCTGCTCCTTCCTCTATCACTCTCCTCTCCTGATATCCTCTGCTCTGCTGGAGGCCTCTGCTCCTTCCTCTATAACTCTCCTCTCCTGATATACTCTGCTCTGCTGGAGGTCTCAGCTCCTTCCTCTATGACTCTCCTCTCCTCATATACTCTGCTCTGCCGGAGGACTCTGCTCCTTCCTCTATAACTCTCCTCACCTGATATACTCTGCTCTGCTGGATGACTCTGCTCCTTCCTCTATAACTCTCCTCTCCTGATATACTCTGCTCTGCTGGAGGACTCTGCTCCTTCCCCTATAACTCTCCTCTCCTGATATACTCTGCTCTGCTGGAGGACTCTGCTCCTTCCTCTATAACTCTCCTCTCCTGATATACTCTGCTCTGCTGGAGGTCTCAGCTCCTTCCTCTATGACTCTCCTCTCCTCATATACTCTGCTCTGCCGGAGGACTCTGCTCCTTCCTCTATAACTCTCCTCACCTGATATACTCTGCTCTGCTGGATGACTCTGCTCCTTCCTCTATAACTCTCCTCTCCTGATATACTCTGCTCTGCTGGAGGACTCTGCTCCTTCCCCTATAACTCTCCTCTCCTGATATACTCTGCTCTGCTGGAGGACTCTGCGTCTTACATTCTTACATCTCTCTGCCTGTGACACCTCTCTATACATGTGTCAGGTTGTCTGCTCACCAGTCAGGGCCTGTAGGTGGGGAAGACACAGCCGGTTGCTCAGCACCAAGAGCTCCATCGAGCCAAGTTGGGGCTCAGGACAGAAGTGGCCCAGGTAGAGATACTCCAGCATGGCGTGCAGGCAGGAAGAGGAAGTGCCGGGCAGAGAGACCTGTGGGACAGAGCAGAAAAATGACATTTGCGGACATCAGCTGGCCATGATCCACCATCCCCAGTGTGACCTCCGGCCCACACCTCCCCCGTTCTGTCATATAACGCAGGCAAGAACCTGACCTGAGGCCTACCAAGACTCCTCCGTATCGGATCCTCCAGCAAGGTTCCAGACTTCCACTTTAAGAGCAGAGTTACACTTTGCGTGAACCCGAGACCTTCTGCTGACATGGGCTCCCGGCCCAGAACTTCACATCGGAGACGTCTGGAGGAGTCCTCGAGCTGTCATGAAGACTCACATTCATGGAGATGGATACCGGACATGTGACCGTGATCTCAGAACAAAGGGAATTCTGCTCGGCTCTGCTCTGGGAACTCGGTGCGTAATCCTCTGCTGAACCATCTCAGACTATCCCCAGTGCTCATTAGGGCTGGCGCGATGCCAGAACCCGATTGGTGCCCCTTGCTTTTCTTAAATGGCCACTTGACCCCTCCCAAATATTCTCCTACAGCGGGCTTCCCTGGAGTGCCAAGTGTCTGGAAGTCTGAGCCGCAGACCGGAGCGAGGTGGAGGTGCCTGTCGGATGCTCAGACAGAGACAGCCCTCGTCTCACACAGATCTGATCCCTCACCACAGGACACAGTTCTTCACCAGGACTCGGCTCCAAAAGAGAGGCCGGTAATTTAGAAGGTGGGGGGGGGGACAATTCGTTGACGGCATCAAACACTCGCTGTAGAATTCTTCTCTTGGAGTTCATTGAGGAAGTCAGGACCCATAGACAATTGGGTTATACTGCAACCCACCCCT